ACTAGTTTAAAGGCCCAATCCAGCTATTTGTGAGCCCAACACAACATATATTCGCATGAAATAGGCATCCAGCCCACCCTACATTTTCTCTGTAAATTCGCCACTGCACAGAGCACTGCGAACATGAGGGCTTCAGGTACGGGAAGTGTGACACGGACCATCAATATCCTTAACTTATTTTCTGCTTCTGCTTCAATCCATGCTGATTCTGCTTCAAGGTGCTTCAGGATGTGAAGCAGCGTGCAATAAGATCTTAAGGCGAGCCGTCTGTAACATCCAAATATTTCAAAGTTTGGAATCTTAAATAGATTAGTCAATCAATAAATATAATTGATTTCCCTTGTTTGTGGTTGTATTTTTGAAGGTATTAAAACTTATATGGGCTTGTTTAAGTTTGTCTGTAACTTTATTTGAAATATCCTTCAAGAATGAACTAACATCATTATCAAAAATATAAATATTGGTCGGAAGTTATTTCATAAAAATCCAAGTTATTTAAGTTGAATTGTGTTTGGATGCAATTGGACTTTTAATAAAGCCATTAAAGAAAGGAAGCCAATAGTCAGGATAGCAATTGCGAACGGCGCGGCTGGCAGTTTCTTCAGTGGGGGTCGGCATTTTTAAAAACTGCCATGGCAATTCGTTTAAATCTGGGGATTTTTTGTCCAAAACTGCCACACACGAGAAACTAGCTTACTGTCCAAACTGCCACAAAATGAAAACCGGCTGCAACCATACATAGGATCGAGATGAAAACCGGCAGCAACCATACACAATTTTCTGTTTTTTCTTTTCCATCATCAGCGGCTGCCTAGCCTCTGCAACAAGCCCTGTTGAATCTGATGCTGCCTCAGGATGTTGCGACCGATGCAATGAGTAATAAGATCCATCTTATCATCGATGCACAACTTATAACTGCAACGGATTTCCTTCTCTACATACAATCTTTGAACTCCCAGTGACAACTGCAAGCTATATAAATTTATAACACAACCAAGTAAAAACTGTTTCTGCAACAAAGCTATCAGATCAAGGGCATGTGCCTTCTGAAGCAAACAACCTGAAACAAACCAAGTCATCTGCTATATCACAGGTTCAGTTCAGTTCTGAAGTAATTCGATGTCTCACAGAAATGCTGCAAAGTTGTTTCTGTAAACTGCAAATGTAGTAGCTGAAATATCATTGCACAATCCTTGCAATATTCAGAGATTGATTCATGAGCAGAACAGCAAGCTTTATTCATCAACCCGGATGTCTTCAGACATATGTTTCATAGTATTTAGGCATAACACGCCAAACACGGGGAATGTAAGAGCATGATACACGATATGTTTATAGTTGCAGTAACATTCTGGGTGATTTTACATAATGAACCGCTACACAAACTGTTGATGGTTGCATATGCCGCAGGCTTAGGTAACGAGGTCATCAGCTATAGCACAGCAGAGTTTCTTCAGGTCTTCAAATTCACCATCTTGGAACGAGAACGAAGCCATCCTATTGGAAATTCCGGTCTCAGAAGCTCGGTCAAAATCAACTTTGGTTTGATAAACAAAGTAGCCGCAGCACTCCCAGGCAGAAAGATAGCAGCCAGTGACCAGATTTTTCACCTAAAATCAAACACCAAAGATTAACCCCTATCAATTCCTTGGTGATAAAACATTTTTTTAGATATGGAACACAATGTATAGCAAGTTTCACCTGGGGGAATAAGAAAACATTTCTGCCATTGTTGGACATCATTAGGCTGTGCACAGTATTTTTCTCATGCAAAGCTAAACATGCTTCACTGACTACATCGACAAGTGCATTTACATTGGTGCTGGTGAACACAAGTGCTTTTAGAGGGTAATCAACTATTTCAGACACACAAATGCCTGATCTGGTTGCCCCATCATATAATGCAACAGTTGAGGCAGACTCCACTGGTAAAGGATTAGCAAAGTAACAGGCCTGTAATATTTAGCAAAAATAACACCATGAGATTCTCCTTAAGCATCCACTGCAAACTGGTAATTCTAGTATCTTAGCAATATCTTATTATGGAAAAAATTCTACTCACTTATTTTGATTCATTAATAATAAAACAATAAAACATGGATCAATCTTCCCTTTAAAATCTTACTCATCATGGCATATTAAAGTAAAAGGTTAGAAGCAATTAAAGTACGAAGTATGCTGTAAGCCGGTGACAATGCATTACAGCACAAAGTGCATGCCTATAGTCGAATGCTTAGTGAAGATCAGACCACCAGACAACTCAATGATTACTCCCATTATATTGGTTAGACAGGTCTGTACAGCAGATGGCAGGTGAATAATAATGTACTCCCTCCATCCCAAATTACTTTGTCACAAAAATGGATAGAAATGGATGTATGCAGAACTAAAAATAGGTCTCGATACATTCATTTATACGACAAGTAATTCAGGACAGGGGGAGTACTTGGAGTAAGTTCAAAACATTAAGCACTAGAACTAGACGGTATTACCTGAAAAAACATGTGCTTTGGCACAATAGATGTACCATCATCAAAGAAAACCCGGAATGCTGTACTGTTTACTTCAGAGGCAATCTTTGTAATCAGCCCAAACATCCTTTTATCCCAAAAGGAAGATAGCTGATTAGTTGAATTTGGGACCAAGAAAATGTGACCATATTCAACAGGATATGCCTTCAGGAAAAGATGTCCATCAGAAATGGAAAAACATGATGCAGATGGCAACTAGCACTTATATCTATATTCACATTCACAGAGGGTTGGGGAGGGGTTAGGGGTCATTTGAAGGTGCGTACATTCGCAATCAGCAGTACCCCATTGTTTGGGGGTGTAGTTGAAGGAACAACCTCCGGTTCAGTATCTTCTCCTTCTGCAATGCACAAAAGTAATTCCTCATAGCTTTTAGCAGAATTTGGCTTCAAGCATCCAAAAGGATGGCCGAACTTGTCATGTTTCTTGAGGGGAAATGTATTCCATTTATCATTCATCTGAATAACAAAATCCCTTTGACCTTCAATGACCTGTACAACCATTCAAAACCAATTATTTCAGTCAAGCTCAGGGCATATCATTAACAGGATTGATGGCTTAATAAGCTTTTTAAAAGGGAATATAAGTTTGACAGATTGTCAACGGTATGTCTGGCAGAAAAAAACTGTTGGTTGGTTGCTTACACATCTAGAATCGCAACATTTCTTGAAAGTTAAACTTCTGCCACCTAAGATGGAATAGTTATGTGCTTTAACATGTGGATAACTATAAGTGGCAGCCACTAGTATTTATCAAATCTTTCCCATTCCTTCCTCTCTTATTTCCCACTGCTATGTTTCCTAACATCCCCATCCGTACTATCCCCCCATAGCCATCACCATTGGCAGAGCAGGAAAGTCAGTCTGTTCTAATGAGGGAAGCAACAGTCGCAGAATGTGAACAGTTTGATAGGCGGTGTTGCAGGAATATTTGGTATTAGTATGCCACTCTGCAGTTTGATTGTGGAAACTGGGGAAGGGAATAGGTTAAGTATAAAATGTATAAGCCTATATTTTCACATCTCTGGCTTTGTGTTTTTAGATTGGGTATCGGAATCCAACGTGCACAAGCAAACATTTGAAGTTACTTTTATCTACGACACAAGAATTAGGGGAGGGGGGGGGTCCAAGAAGCACCTTAAGTTCACAAGCAGTAACATCATATCCCATGTGGCCCTTCTGGGCAAAGTTCTCCCACTGTTACAAAAAAAATCATCTATAAAAAATGGTGCCATGAGAACTCATAAAGTTTGTGTGAACTCTCAGGTAATACAAACCTGAGAAAGAATGAGTGTATCAAGTAAACT